TCCTTCGGAGTCACGAATATACTGACTTTATCAAAATATCGCGTTGTGGCTAGTTCTACCAGCTTACGAATCATCCGATATGCTTGAATTTGCAAGCATTTGTCCAATTCCCTCAAATATGTTTTCAAATTCTTCAGCTGGAGGTAACATCACACACCTGTAGAATCTTAAGAAATGCTTGATAAAGGGTAGACACGTCTCCCACCCACAGATCAAAAACTCTGTCTCCAATTCCCACATTTTTTGTTAATTCCTCTGTTGTAGTTAACATTACACCCCTGCAGAATTTACGATGATTGCATTCGTTTGTCCACCCACTGTAAACAAGTCCAACCCATAGGTAAAAAAAACAGTGCTGGCGCTAACTTCACACCCCTGCAGATAGTAGATGTTTGAAAACACATAATAGTCATTGTCCACGCCACAGACCACGGATCTAAAAATGATCATCTTATTATTTCGACATTTATAATACTACTGCTGAGGCTAGCTTCACACCCTTTCAATATCGTCAGAGACGCTCAAGATAGGGTAGTCATAGTTGCGCTGCGCATGTTTGTTTACCGATAGTAGACGACACAAAATATTCCATTTACAAATACATAAAAAAAAGTGATTTCCTTTCATCTAAAAGGGTATTAGTAGTAGCGTTTTTTAGATCTGTGTAGTGGCCAAATGTCTATGATGGATGGACAGAATTCAATCATTTATCATGTCACCCTTTATCAAGCATCTTCTGTAGGGGTGTGAAGTTAGCCGTTGTGAGGTATTTTGAAAAAATATTCGAATGAACCAGAGAGGTGTTTTTTAGATCTGTGGGTGGGACAAGCAAATACAATCATGTTCATCTTTGATCAAGCATCTCCTACGATTCTGCACGGGCGTGAAGTTAACTCCAGCAGTAGTATTTTAAATAATACTCCAGAGAATTGGATAGATGAATATGTTAGCCTAAACTATTTTTCTTTCATAAACGATTGACAAATCGAATGATCTGGTAGACAAATGTGGACAATTGAGTGTCATAAATGATAATTTCTTACATCTGATTTTTCGGGACTAACGTCACAGACCTGCCTATCTCCAATCAGGAATGATTTGAAGAACAAGTTTCTGATATTTCCCTAGTACTTTTTAACTGGAAATATAATGCAACAAGGTTTGTATGGAACAGAAACAGATTTGAAGCAAAGTAAAAAAATTGGCTTGCTAGCTTTTATGTTTAGTAAAAATAATGATAGCTTATACCAAAGGTTGAATACCAACCCTAGCATATTTATTTGTGATGGTCAATTAGAAGTAAAGATAATTGGTGGTAACATGAATTCTAAGTACCACCTAACAAATTATAAATACAAATAAGTAAAACTTATTTGGGATTTATGTAGAATTATCCCAGAACCATTCAGATTCAGCCACTAGTCAATCACTAAGTAATTCTGACATCAAGCATAAACAGAATGGTTTTGGGATAGTTCTGGGATCTATCCCAAATAGGACTTACATGTATGAAAAAAAATGCTATAAAACTGGGCATTCTTATACTTTGATAAGCAAGACAAAAAAGTATGGGCATGCTAATAGTAGTCATAGTCATGAATCTAATAAAATCAAGGATATACTATTTTTGTCCACTCGCCAACCAGTTTTTGCACTTGTCTTTTGACGAAAAAAAGATATTCTGGCATAACTCATCAACTGTCCAGTTTTAACATTACCCCATCTGTATTGAATTGGGCTGGATGAATATGTGGGCTTATTCAATGTTTGTGCCTCCTAATGGCAATAAGTCGTCAAATGCCTCGTACAACTATTGATGAGGCTCACAAAAAATTTAAATAAGCAGGCTATTATGTCTCGTCACTTAAAACTTGAAGACCACAGCATTTTGTAATTTTATATTTTTGTCCAGGATCTTTGAGATTTAGCACAATAGGATGCTGTTTCAGTATTCGTGCACTAGTCCATAAGAGTTTTTTTCAATAGTAACAAATTGTAATTTCAAAAGATGCTGAGAAAAAAAATGAAGCAGACCTGTGAACCTACGTCTCACATGCACCTGGTTATTAATATTATTGACTCACCAGGGGTCTGTGATAACGTGCTGGATCTATTTGGGAAAAAGTCTTCATTTCGAATAGAAACTCGGAAACCACGAACAATAATCACGGAAATTAAAAATTAATACAAACGAAAAAAATAAAAATACAGGCGGCAGACATCAATTTTTTTACCATCTATTGACATTGACAATATTAGACGTAGGCCGCGAAAAAGTAGTTCAAATGTCCATATACGATACCAGCGACCTAATACCCGAGCAACTAGAATTTTGTTGACATAAAAAAATTGACAAGATCGTGTTGTGTGCAGAGGGAGGATAAAGGCACTGAAAAGTCATGTTTGACCAACATAACCACACCTCAAACGGTATACGAGCCCCTTCCCACTTCAGTTGGCCCAACTATTGAAATCTTAGTTTTTTTCTTATCAAACACAAATAATAAAAATGTAACAGGGTGTTATAGGTTTAAAATATTAACAATGAATATTTTGATAATATATAGTAGAAAACACCAACTTTATCACTCCCTAATCAAATTTGCAGCATAAAAATAACACATGTTGCAATTACAGCATATCAACCTATTTTCATTTCAATGCAAAACAAATTTATAAGGCATAGGTGGCTGTGAAAAATAAAAGCCATGACAATTGTTTTTATTAATCACAGCTGTCAGAATACGTTTAAAATAGTTTTGGGTAGTTAAGGTTTTCAAAATGCGTAGAGGAAAGGTTATTAGTGAGAAAATTCGGTTACTGATAATTAAATTTTTTAATTCTGGGAAATCAAACTCAGAAATTGCAACTTTGTTAGACTTATCGCGGTACAGTGTGAGAAATATTGTTAGACGACATAACGTAACTGGTTCAGTTAATATTAAGCCACGATATCTGAAAAAAAGTAATATCACAAGTGCCGACCGAAGAGCATTCAAGAAGAATAATCGTAAAAAACAGGGGTGCCAATTATTTACAATTAAGTGCTCTGTGGAGTGACGCTGTTGGAAGGAGAATTTCGAGGTCCACAACTCATAGAGAGGCCCACAAACTGGGATTTAGTACTTGTAAGGTAAGTTTTCTTATAAAAAAAGTGAAGTAAAAACCCTGTTGCACAACTTGTTTATAGGCCAAAGAAAAGCCACTATTAACTCCACTGCAAAAGAAAAATCGGCTCAGATGGGCTAAAGAACATAGACAATGGACACCTCAACAATGGTGTGCAATACAATGGAGTGATGAGGCCCGATTCGAAGTTTGTGTTGGTGACAGTCGCAGTAGAGTTATTCGCAAAAAAAATGAAGTATTCCATGTTGACTGTCTGAAGAGAAAAGTGAAATTTCCAGCATTTATTATGGTCTGGGGCAGTATGTCATCAAAAGGAGTAGGAAAACTTCATTTTATTGATGGAAATGTGGATACAAACAAATATTTGGCAATTTTAGAAGAATCGCTTTTACCAGTGATGGAAGAATGTTTGACATCCGGCCAAGATTTTGTGTTTCAGCAAGATGGTGCAGCGTGCCATACGTCAAAAAAGGCTGTAAAATGGATGGAAGAAAATAATGTACAACTTTTGAAATGGGTTTCTAGCAGTCCAGATCTGTCACCTATTGAAACTTTGTGGTACGAGATGAAAAAGGTTCTACGACAACATCCTGCTTGCACAATCACCGAACTGAGTCAAAATCTTCAAGAAATATGGGATTGTTTTACACCAAATTTTTGCCAAATCTTGGTTAACACTATGCCCCAAAGAATTTTAGCCGTAATAAAAAATAAAGGTGATGTTACCCAATGGTAATCTTTCAATTGTTGCTTTGTTAACTTCGCGCATTTATTCGCACATTGTTTATTTGTTCAGATGTTCTATTAGTTATGGGTCTAAGTGATTTCAAATATGTATTTTCACGACTAGAGTGAATCTAAAATGTTTTTGAGAAAATAAATTGTTTTAGAAGTAAAAAGTTTCGTCATGCTTAGTTTAAGTACGAGTATAAATGCATATTTTGGTACAAATCTTGAAGTGGGCCAACTGAAGTGGGAAGGGGCTCGTATTAGCAAAGGCAGGTAAAAAAGAATGTAGTTAAAAAATTGTTTTCATAATACAAATAACACATAGTCCTGAGGCAACGGCTGAAAGACAGCCTTTCAGTCAAGGGCGGGGTCTCTCAAAAAGCGATTGGCTTGAGGAGTTGCTATCCACGAATTAAAATCTAGGAAATTCTAGCAGCTTATGCCTTTCTTATAACAGGAGAGCAGGGAGGGATGATGTCTGGTGGCAGAGGGGGGCTAATGACACCCGTGTATCCGCTCTTGATTAAGAATTTTGCGCCCCACTGACACGCCCTGCTTACCGTCTGTGGCTGGCCCTGGATTAATGATCTACTTGACGAGAGCTAGTGTATTCCAGCATCCAAAATCTTATCACAGATGAAATGAGACACCCTGGCGTCATCTATGAGAATTTGTCACAGCTCTGGTTTTCCTACCCATAATAATTATAGGTTGTTTTAAAAGGTTAGTGTCTCATAGATGGCGTTATAGCCAACTTCATGCTCATATAGTAGGCATTACGCTTACTGCTTTAGTTTCCTTTAGCTGGCTAAGTCCACAACCTTGTGCTGTGCACAAACTAAAGAAAGCCTGCTTTAGTGGCAGAAATGTTGGTATATACCCATATATTTATCATTTCCAGTTTTATATAAAATTACTCTGAGTATGCTAGATTCATACAAACGTAATCCTGACTGATTTAGCCTTCGCCAATGCACAGTACTGGCTCCACGCAATCTGTGAACAGCTGGAATTAATCATGACCACCACAGGTACGAAATACAGACCCAAGGATTCCTATTCATCCTACGACTCTTGCAATATTACTCTTAGAATGTTTACTATTGAGGTAATTTTGTGCAAATATATCCAATAAAATACAATTTAGGAAAACCTAGTATATTCACGTGTAAAGCTATAAAAGTATAATAAAATAGAACACAAAAGCAATATTATAACAAACGTTGAAGTCTCACAAAAATTCCATTTCACGCTCTATACCGACGAACTTCAGTTGCTCGGTTGGTCCGTATCTGGAAGGCAAACATATTTATCAAACATAGGATTTCATGGTTTTTTGGTCAGCATGAAAACCAAAAGATAAGTTTCAGGTACCTAACACATTTATCAAACATTAAGAAAGTTTTATGTGCTTCACCCAACCCAAGCTACTGTACAACTTTTTTTGGGAACTTTCCATTTATTGCCTTTTAGCTATTTATTCTATTTGTAATTTTAATAATAAACATTTTTATTATTATCTATCAACTATGCTTTACACAGCATCCCATTTTATTCTCCCCAACCTAAATATGTTGAAAACAACTCATTCTACAGAAAAGTTTCATAAAAAATTGGTAACCTTCCAGCGGCAAAATGATGCTGGCCATGGCTACGACCGTCAAGGTCAAGTGAATGTTTTCAAATAAAACACCCCGTTTGCGCATCGGAATTGAAAAGAGGACACATTTTACGCCCTAGTATCACCTTCGCCATGACCTTGACAATCGCATTCAAGGCCATTTCAAGATCACAACAAGGAATCAAACACAATTTACTCTAACAAAAATAAACGACAGTACAGTTGTAAGGTTTGTAGGGATTACCTTAACGTAACCTTGATCATGATCTTCAAGGTCAAGTCAAAATTTCCGAAGGAAATCTCTCATTTTTATGCTGGAAATGAAAAAAGAACATTTCACGTCCGAGTCTGACCTTGACCTCGAAGTCAAGGTAATGTCAATATCATTTAAGGTTAAGGTTATATTCGGGCGTAAAATTTACAGATTTTTCCGTTTATCGTATAAAAATGAGATGTTTATTTCGAATGTTTGACCTGATCTGGAATGTAACGGACCAGGTCACCTTTGGGTGATCTCTACAAATCTCACAAATGTACAGTCATTGTAATTTTACATTATTGTTTATTAAAATTACATCAGTATGCGTTTTGAGTATTCATAAAGTGAGTTTTTAATTTCACCTTAAGCGTTTTTTAACTCGAACACTGTTTAATATCATTATTCAATTTATTAAATTCAAATACTTCCTTTTGACAAACATATTTGCTATTTATGCTACTATTACAATTTTGCAGATGAAAACCTATACTGCCTCTAGTTTGGTAGTTATGATAATGACTGTTTAATTTTCTTGAAAATATTTACTTGTCAAGGTCATTGATAAGATCGCCATAATTTTGTCCCCTCGAAACCCTATATATTCCGTTTAAAACATCTGGAATCCGCAGTTTTAAAAATATTTAGGTGGGGAGATTAATGGTAAAGGATTTTGAAAAAAAAATGGGTGAAACTATTTAGTGTTAATAGTCGTCAAGTCAAATGATCTAGAATTATGGATAAGTTAACGTAAATATTCAGCTGAAAGATAACAGACGACAAAGGAGAAAACATTACCTATAGTCAAAGAACAACTCCTCGCCTGGTTGAATAGCTCGTTTAGCAAATATCCCGATTCTGTGGTCACCATTAACCATCATAACTTTAGCATAACAATTCGGATTAATGGAATGGTTTGCAAAACGAATTTTGTTTCCTTTTCTCGTTGCGTCAACCACAAAATCTGGAATAAGAAGGAAATTCAACAATCAGCTTCTATGAGTAATTTATCGCTCGTTGCTATAATAGTACAAACTTCAATAACTGCAGGAAGCTGAATTTTGGAGTCTGAAGTCTTTGAACTAGTAAAATCTCATGATCAAGAAACATCCGTACCATTTTTCAAAATGTTCAAAAATTAAAAAAGTCTCCCAACTTTTAGACCACATTACTTACCGTTGTTGAGATTAAACAAGAAACTACACATGTATTTATCATACACTTTTCCTCGTCTATCTGCTTCATCTTGAGAAATAATTTCCCCACAATATTCTGATATGAATTCATTTTTTTGGGCACTATCTTTCAAAAATATGCCCCAACCAGCTACATCCGATGGAGCCATCAACAAGTGTTTGTCTGAAACCACAAGGAAAAACATTTTTTGGAATCACATTCTGAATGTATCCAAGCCATGGAGGCACAAATGTAACGGACATAAAGTTTTGTAAATAGCTACTTACGCAATCCGCGTTGAACGCTAACATTTTTACAAGTGATCTTGGAGATATCAAACTGATCAGCACCACATGTTTGACATAGATCAGGATCACACTCTCTAACAGCCAAATAACATGGACATTGCTTCGTGTTACACTGTGCTTTGCACCGACATCCTGGAAACCTATTTTGACCTGGAAAAATCGAAATCTCTATAAGGATTCAACTAATAATGATATAATATACAGGGTGTTATTTAATGATAGGCCGTAAGCACAAATGCACACTCCTGAACCAAATGCAGGGTGGCCGATATGTAACTGACTGGTTTGTATCTTGAATATTTGAGAAATGAAATAAAACACGTCAATTTTTTTTTCTTTATATTTCATTGAAACCTAGAAATTATGTATGAAAAATAATATCAGGCAAATGTCTGCCTCTAGGGGTCGCGCAAACCTGAGCTCCTTTGATTACATTTTCCATCACTTTTTAGTAGGTATCGGGAGGAATATTTTCAATCGCTACCGTAATATTGTTCTTCAGCTGCTTTACCGTATTTGGTTTGTTGGCTTAAACCCTACCTTTCAAAAATTCCCATAAACAAAGTCAGGAGCCGTTAAATCCGGTGACCTTCGTGGCCAGTTGACATCACCAAATCGAGAAATTAAACGTCTCGGAAATGATGTTCGCCAAAGATTCATTGTTTCCCTAGCTCTGTGACAAGTTGCTCCGTTCTGCTGGAACCACATGTTTTGCATTTGAGGAGCCAGAAAGTTTGGCACCATAGCACGGTAGCGCTCGCCAGTGACAGTAAGAGAATGACCTGCAGTGTCTTCTCAGAAGTAAGGTTCAATGACGACTCCATACCAAACACCGCTCCAACATGTGACTCGACGAGGATGCAGAGTGATCGTTGATGAATGACACGAGGGTTCTCTAATGCCCAGATACGACAATTCTGCTTATTAACAAATCCGTTCATATCGAAGTGGGCTTCATCGCTCATTAACAGTTGTCGGTAAAAATCGTTATTTTGGGTATTATGCTGCAATATTGCATGACTGTATTGACTGCAACTTTCATGGTCACTAGGCCCTAGTTCTTGGCTTAACTGAATTTTGTATGGCTGCAAATGCAAGTCTTTTTTTAAAATAGTGCATAATGACGTGCGACGAATATCCAGTTCTTGAAAAAGATGTCTGGTAGACGTCTCAGGGCGCTCCACTACAATTTCACGAACTATCTCGATATTTTCCAGAACACGGCTCGACCTTGGCGAGTGTTTAAATTCACCTGTTTGTTCAAATTCCTAACTGACGAATGGTGTTGACACTGGACACATTATCTCGACCGAAATCTTGTCGTAGCTTCCGAATCGTTGCAACAATCGACCCATTATTTAAGTAAAACGTTTTAACAATACGGACGCGTTGTGGGATCGTGTAGCGCTCCATGATGAATTGGACACATGTGCTTTAAACAACTACTACGGCGCCACCTACTGAAATACGTGTATCAAAAATGGCGAGCAATTTAAATCAGTCAATTATATATTGGCCACCCTGTATAAGTGGAAAAGTTCATATATATTTGAGTTCCAAAGAGTCTGGTTTTCAAGATACAGGATGCCAAATTTTATAAAAATTTTGTTTTTTTATCAACATCTCAAAGATCTTTGTGCCGCTTTTATGAATAATATTGACAAACAAATGTATTCCACTACTTTAAAGCCTGTGTAGAATCGGTAGGTGGTCGATTTCAATATTTTTTGTAAATATTTTGTTAAATTGTTCTGTGCTTACATTTTAAAAATGACTTACAAATAAATATTGCGCATTGATCAAATTATTTTGATATTATATCAACAATGTTTCAATATATAATGAAGATGTTTAATTAACTTCGTCCTAAAAAACAAATTGACATACGAAGAAATACCAAGAAACAAAAAAGTTGTATTTTTGTCAGTCCATTTCTGAAAAATGTATATATTTTTTCAATTCATTGCCGTACATTTTTTTTTGTTTCTCGAGACCATAGTGGCATTCATTATTATCCTCTGATTAGTGGTAACTTAGCGTCTTATTGCAATTTATAACACTGCCAAAATTCAACAAAATAGACACAAGAATCTTCGAGATAATAATAACAAAAAAAATTCAAACTGATCCTGTTGCTTTTAAACCAGACTTTTCAGGGCACATGTTTTAATGAACTTCTCTACAGCTTCGGCGAGAAATTTTAAGTTTGAAACTTGGAGAGCAACTTTTGCTGCCTTATGTTCATGAAAAAAATAGCAGCAAGTAGGTTGACTCTGTACCTCCCACGTAAAGCCCTTATCAGTTCACAAAGGATTATATTCAGCACAAAGAAAAAAGTCAGACAAACAAGTCCATAGACATTATTCCCTGCCATACTGGTAGTGCATCTGGAATCGTCTATCTTCCCAAGCTTTTTTGCCTCTAATTTTTTCCCAAAAATGATCAGGATCCTCTAAAACGTCAAAAAACGAAGTTTGACAGGTTTTTAATTTTTTTTTTGAAATTTATCTCTGCCACGATTGGACCGACTTTCTAAAACCACAAAGCTGTTGCGTCCTAGGCAGAACAGTAACATTGTGTAAAAATTTGATCAAAAACTGAGCAGTGGTTCTCAAGTTATAGGCGGTTATAAGATAGCGAACAGGCCGACAGGCAGACAGACCGACAGAAATGAGTGACATGGTTGATATAGCATCCAAAAAACATATTTTCACATATTTTACGCGATTACAATACTTCCTCAGCAGTAGGCGTGGGAAGTGAAAAAGTGAAAACTGAGTATGCTTTGTCAAAGATGAACTTACAATCAGAGCTGCACTGACAGAACTTCTCGCAGAAGTTCTGGGCACCAATACATGGACAATTGTGGTCGCAATTCTGGCCAGGATGATCACAGGGCGTGAAATTGTACACGTGGTTGCTGCTCGATTCTTTTTTCAGCTGGATCTTGCGACAGTGCATGGACCAAAGCCTATGCTTCTTCTTCTTCTTCCTTGGTGGGGTATAGTCTCTCACAGCTTCTTCAGCTGGGATGTCAGCTGCCTCTTTCTGGGCAAAGTGATATATCTGAAACGACCGCAACAGAGAAGAAAGAGTCAATTTTGAGACTCCTACATACGAAGTTACAGCTCAGCTTTGTTCAACCTTATGACTATTAAAATTTGATTTAGGAGTCAAAGAATTAAACAAGAGTGGGCCTTTTTTACTCACCTGTTGACAGGTTTTAGTTAGCATAATTTGCGCAATGGCACAATAATTGTTCAAGAAGACTTTGTGTAAAGCCCTAAATAGACTCTCATCTGAACCAGTCCATTCTTTGTGGTCATTTGCGCCCATCAAACCTAACAGACTGAAAGAGGTAGTGGTTGAAACTGGATCTGATCCGTCATTATCTGAAAATTAACACAAACTCAAAAAAAATGTCTCTGCTCAGACAATGAGGTATTAGGAATATTATTGGTGTCATGTATACCTTTATTACTATCATTGCTGTCTTCGGAACTAGCTTCATTTCCAGAATCGACACTTTGCTGCTTTGAAATCTTCCTCGGATTTGAAGAAGTGCCATTTTTTATTTCAGCTGCTTCTGCTGCTTTTGCAGCTTTGCCCTTACTCTCCTTCTCAATTTCCTCGTCTTGCTTCGCTTTCGCAGCCATTTTTTCTTTCACTCCATCCTTGAAAAAATTAAGCATGAAACAAGGAATTGTATGTTAGATTTCCTTCGGAATGATGAAGAAGAGAAACAATATTGATTTGATTAAATGTTGCGTGAAGACAAGTACTTACCAGATGCATATAGCAATCCGCACCGCAAGGCTCAGTGAAAGGTTTCAAATCAGGGCCTCTTCTTTTTTGCAAATTCGGACCAGGATGACATACTTGCAGTCCTAGACAGAAGACTATGCTTTTAAAAATATTCACAAAAAAAACTAAGTGAATGGAAGGTGCCTTATCGTCTGTTTTCAAACCATATAGTATTTAACTAGTATTGGTCACACCAAAGACAGGCTGCAACAAGTGGCATCAAAAACATGTTGATTACTTTTTATGATGATCAGAAAAACTTTCATAATTATCAAGGGGAGGCTGTCTGGATAACTGGCAACCATGTCAAATACACTGATGACTGGTCAAACACACATTTGAAGGGCAAGCATACCTCATTTTTGTTTATAAACTAAATCATGTAAGTAAAATAGTTAAAGGATGATATACAGGTTTTGAGAATAGCTTCTAGTTTCATAAATCGGAAAGCACCTGCGAAAAGTGTGATTTATAACTTTATGACAACAGAATTTACTCTCAAACCCATAAGCCATGTCATGTCTATTCAACTTTTGGGACCCTACGCGAAATATTATACGATTTAGTTTAGTATATACCCATTTCACGAGTATCCATCATGCTTTGACGTCCACTGTGTTAGTCTGCAACGTTGGCAATCATGAATCGGATATAAATCTAGTAAAACTTGTTTGTGGCGTTTTGTTTTTTGTATGCAAATGAACCTTTCTAAATAAAAGAGCTGTTAGTAAGTACAAAATGAATCAGTAGCATACAAAAAAAAATACAATACGGATCTGACTACCTGGCGTTGACGAATCCGTCAGAATTATGTGTCCTGTGCCGATATGGGGAATTTTGGGATATTACTAGATAACCAACTGTCATTCTACCATGATGGATACTCATGAAATAGGGTATATTTATGTACGTGCAATTCAAATTTTTTCTCACCTCAAATTGCATATTTGACAAATCGTGGGTGTATTTGACAAGGTTGCCAGTTATCTAGACAGCCTTCCCCTAAACAGTGGAAAACATAGAACTGTTTTAAAGTCATCAATCTAGCAATGGTTGCTTGATCCAGATATACCTGTACTCTGAAAATTATCATATCGAATGTGAATTGTTATTGGAATAAGGCACCTCACCATACAGTTATAGTCTGGGATGTTTGTAGTAATTTCATGCCATTGATTTCAATAGTTGTATCAGGTATCACATAGGTATCTGATACAGTTTATGAAATTTAGAATCAGGAAATCACAGATCAATAGCCCAGATTGTAACCCAAATGAAAAGCTTAAAATTTGAAATGAACATGAAGGAGCATGAGTAAAATGCTAGGTCATCTAAGAACATAACTTGTCCATCACCTGCTGCTAGAAACCAAAACCAAATCATGAATGATGAGCTGAAAATAATCAGGCTATGATATGCACAATATTTGAACTATTACCTGGTTGTCCTGAAATGTGCAGCAAAACAAATACACAACCTGATGTATTCAGGTAAGGTTTCATACCATTAAGTATAGTTAAGTGCTAAGCATAAGCTTACCTATATTGTACAAAAATTATTAGAATTATCATTAAAGATAAAGATGCCCCTATTAAAATTTTTGTCTTGCATTGAAAGAGGATTGTGATGCTGACAGATCAAATTTATTAATTGGTGACAGTTATTGCTTATTAATCCCCCCCTGTTTCTCTGGCCAAATCAAACCACATACATTTAAAATTCTTCTTTATTGTACAATGTTTTGGTCCCAATGGTTTTCAAGTACAATTGATACTTTTGATAAGTAATTTTAATGATATATGTGGTTTGGGGATATTAGCATGAAAACCACAGTATAGCTTTGACATGTGTTACATTTTTGCCTATTGTTGACGAAATTTATTTTTTATTTTCGATCCATCTCAATTTTGTTCAAAGCATTGTTTAGTTATATAAATATCCTTTTCTGTCACATGCTTCACAGTATACAATACAGTAATTATCACAGTAGGCTTATTGTCATTTATTCATTTTGGATTGAACTTGATAAAGTAGAGTAATACTTACTATGCAGAAAGCAGTCATACTTGAAACATCGTCTACAGAATAAGGTGTGGAATGAATGCATAGTTTGCTCTCTAGGTACCGAAGCAGCATTTGGACCATCAATGTTTGGGGTACATTCTGGAGGAGCATTTGGATCTGTTCTTTCAGTCAATTCAATGTATCTATGAACAAATACAGTTTATAATATACTTGAATATATTTTGAAAAACATTCTAAATAGCAATAAATCGAAATTTGACATGATAAAACTTACTTATCACGCAGCTCTTCAGGTCCACCCTTATCAGGGAATTGCAATGAAATCGCTTGAAATATCACCATTGTAGGAAACTCCAAATCCTCCTTCTTTTTATCCTCATCTTCATCTTTCTTTTTTTCCTTTTCTTTATCTTTTTCTTTCTCCTCAGACTTTTTCTCTGATTTATCATTGCCCTACAAAAGCATGATAAAATACATGATGTTATTAATGACAAGGCGAAATAAAGGTATCAATGTAATCTTTTTTTTTTACATCAATACTTACTTTTTCTTGGTACTGCATCAGGGCATGTACCAATTCCACAAAAAGGACATCATCTATAAACCCTGATTCTCTGTCACCATGGACCTTACCATCATAGTTTTTGATCAGTTCTTCAATAAAGGTGCCATCTTGATCCAGAATCTCATCACCCATGTATGGAATGTTGTGTAGCACAGTCTCATCTTCTACCATGAAATTCTGTTGTATGGGTGCCCAAGTATACATTGTTGGAATTGGAGTAACTGCATTGATGATCTTAATGGGCACAACTTGGATGTCACCTAACAAGATTTTGGTATTAGGTGTAACAAAATATTTGAAATTATTATTGCTTATTCTTTGACATCAAATACAACCAAGCCACAACATATACTGCAACTCAAAATATGTTGAATCTTTGGGCAAAGTTATAACCTTGAGATTTTTCCACAAACTGTAAGAAGGTGAAATGTGAAATTACAATGCAATGCAGATCTTGTGTTGTCACCATCCCTGCAACTGTGAAGTCTATCTCTATGCCCAAAACACTGCATTGGGCAACGCTTATTATTGGGCAAAATTTTAGAGTTTCTGAATCAGTGGCTAATCAAAAATCAACTTTTCAAAGACACAGGATGCCTATTTTAGAAAAAGTGCTGGATTGCCTCATCAGGATTAATGTAGATGAGGTACCTATACAATGGGTATAAATGGATGACTTGGTAAAGACACACTGGATGATTAAAAACTAAATTAAAAATTACATTTCGAACTTCTAACTATATCTGAAAGATCTCATACATACATACATTACATATTCACACAAAATAGTTGCTTTTCCCCCTGTTTTTTCTTTTACTTCCTCCCTTTCTTTCGTCCCATTCCATTTTCCTCAGGCTAATGTCACACAAACAGTACTTATCTAATGGATTCAGGTAGAATGAGCAAGCTTATGCTCGTCTGTATCCAAAATTTCGTCTGCAGTCAATATAAAAGCACATTTTTACAAGTAGGCTTGACATAAGAATAAGAAATCCTTGAGAACACATTTTTGCCTACCATAGCAGACTTATATCCTGACAGAGATTGCATTTATCAGCAGGACAGCGCATCATGCCACACTGCCAAAAGCACAAAACAATAGTTTGGGGATCATGACGTACATGTCCTCTCTTGGCCCGCCAGTAGTCCCGATTTAAATGTGATAGAAACAGTCTGTCTCAAAATCAAACAACATTTGAGAAACCATCCTCAGAGAACAATCTCTGAACTGCGTATGAAATTGCAACAAATTTGGAATTCGTTTACTCAAGAAAACTGTCAAGCATTAGTTAAGACCCAGCCTGCAGGCGGTAATTAAGGCAAAAGGCGACGTAACAAGTTATTAGTTAAGTTACATTTTGTAGTGCCCGAATATTTAGTTGCCACATATTTTAGAGAAGTTTAGTTTTTTTTTGTTAATTTATATTACTTATCAAGAAAAACAAATATTATTATCAAAAATAGGTCAACTTTTGTATAAACTGTTAATTAAAATTTTCGGAACAAGTTTACTATCTTGTTCTGTTATTTTATAGAACAATTTGCACAAAATTTAAAAGTGTCCGAATATTTAGTTGTTTGCGATCGTACACTCCAAAATAGTGGGGATAACAAAAATATGTGTCAAGATTGTTAGGTTATGTTTTTTCACCACTTTTTTGCATTAAATTCACATTAAACCCATACCAGACAATGGAGGATGATTATTGTTGCATTCCCATGCACATTTGCTAGAGCAGTTCAGGAGTGTCACACTCTAGGTGCATAGAACACTTTATTCAAAAGCACTGGCCAGCGGCTCGGGATGATCAGTTGATATTGATGGTTACCAACCACAGTAAATAACGATTGTGTGGTAAAGTGGAAATGGGATGCCATTAATAAGACAGATGCATGTTATGGGATACAAGAACCCTAACATTTTTGGAAGTTGTGTTGCTTCATAGTCTAGTACATGCTGTAACCAACATTAGTTATAGTAAAAAGAATATCACATACCCTCATTACCAATAACTTCTGCCTTCTTCATACAAGTAACATGAGCTGGCAATTCTGGAGTAGGTACCCAGAAAGCCTTGCCTTCAGTCCATCTTTTCTGTTCAGTAACAAGTGCCTCAGACATTTTGTTTCGGTTTTGGTTCCACGCCAACTTTATTTCGTCTGCCCTTTTATACCTTTTCTGTTGTCTTAATCGCATATATTCTTGTTTTACGCGCTTTTTCCATTCCGCGCTCACTTTTGCTTTAGCCATAGCTTTGTAGTTTATGAACAAGTATAAGAAATAACACTTTGACGGCTTGATTATGTTTTATTCAAAAGAAGATATGAGTATGAGTTTCACTTTAGGCCTCAATCTTTGGGGGTAGATTTTCCCACAAAAATAAAAATAAACTCACTACACCGTTTGTATCTATACCACAAAACATATACACTCACATATACACTGAGTTACACGAACACACAACGACAACATACACAATGACACATGACAATCCGCAGAACCACGGAACTACCCACCCACAGGGCTGCGTTCGGAAATTGTTAAAGAGTGTACTTTGTACTATACCACTCTATTGTTTTGTGTAGACCAAAGTAATAATTCTGGAACGTCAAAAGTGCGATATTCTTCCCGTGCTCAAAACCTTGGGAATAAGAGTGTTGATACTTGTTATTCTTATGGCTTGTGTACTTTATTTGGTTATGAAAAGGTGCTAAAAATTGGCAAAATATATATATTTCAGGATAACTGGGCTACCTCGTATGCATAGCGTTTTTTATAATAGATAAAATGATTGCAGAAAACGTAGTTAGAAATTAGTCGGCTGTCATCAAGTGTCATCACATGACTGTAATAATTTATACATTCTAAAAATGAAGTTTCAGAGTATTCCAGAGTAAAACTTCATAATGTCAATCTACATTCCATTACTGTGTACGGTATTACATTACCAAAATCAAATCCAAGCGGATAACCAAAATTTCCGTATTATGTGCCGCGGTTATAATATGGTTCAAGATGACACACGGGATGGTGACGTCAGTTATTCGAATCGCTTGAACGCGTTGGTTTTAACCGCGGTTTGTTGCAAGATGTTTATTTTAGAAAAGCGCGTATATAATTTCTGATTATTTTTATTATCACTTAATAATCGGTGCTTTTTCGTCTACAACGGGGTATGGAAAGTTGAAAAAAGAAAACTTTCATGATATTAATGGAAGAATGTTTTTTTTTTCCGAAAAAAATTTTTACTGATGGAACCATGGCTTTGTAGCTATGATAACTTTCAATTCTCTAAACTTTTCCGCATGTCAAAGAAAATATTTATTGATTTAGCAAAAATGATGAAAAAGCGATGAAAAAAGATATTAACAAAACCGTATACAGGAGGACATCATCCAGTGAGTTTATACGGACATATTTTAATATTCTTGTGGTATATGGCTAGACAGGATACTTTTTTAAGTGTAGGAACTAGATTTAAAGTGTCCCCAACAACAGTGATGATTATAAATAATGCTAAAACTGAAGTCAGCCTGTATCAAGTTTCCTAAAAATGAAGCTGAAGTACAATAAAAATATCCAATACCCGGCAAAATTCTAACTTGTCACATGTCAAATAATAACCAGAAATATAAAACTACTCCGGAGTTGGGTAAATACCACAATTTTGCGGTGATAACTATGACATATAACAGCTGATTCATGACGTCACGGATCTTATAACCAAACTGATAACCACACTCGCTTGAACGGATCGGTAAATACCAATCCAAAATGGTAAATACCATTTCCATTTGGTTATCCGCTTGAATTTGATTCAAGTGATTTACAATTGCGCCGCATCACAGGAACTACCCCAGAAACTTGGGCAGGACACAACAGCGATCACTAAACATACATCACATCTTCACTACCAAGCTATTTCTCTACGTGCCAGTAAAGGAGACACTTTTTTCTACTAGTTCATGTCAAATTAACAAATCAACAAGAAAACAGCTGACTCTTGATGTCTTACCCCTATCGCTTTTACTTCTGAACAACTAGTCTTGCGGGACGTACTGCACCATCCAAGATGAAATATCAACGTCAACTCGCTTACGTGTCAGCCTTCAAAATCTACCAGAGGCGACACTTGTCAAAAATCAGGTTCTATCAACGCCAACTTGAGTTCTATAATCAAATCCAAGCGAATAACCAAAATTTCTGTGTTATGTGCCGCGATTATAATATGGTTCAAGATGACACACGGGTTGATGACGTCAATTACACGAATCGCTTGAATGCGTTGGTTTTAACCGCGGTTTTGTTGCAAGCTGTTTATTTTAGAAAAGCGCGTATATAATCTCTGATTATTTTTATTATTACTTAATAATCGTTGCTTTTTCGTCTACAAATGTATATGGAAAGTTTAAATAAGAAACCTTTCATAATATTCATGGGAGAAATGTTTTCTCAGATTTTTTTTTAATGGTGGAACCATGGCTTTGTAGCTATGATAACTTTCAATTCTCTAAATTTTTCCGCATGTCAAAGAAAACATTTATTGATTCAGCAGAAATGATGAAAAAAGAAATTAGCAAAACCGTATACAGGTGGATATCATCTAGTGAGTTTATATGGCCATATTTTAATATTCTTGTGGTATATGGCTACACAGGATACTTTGTTAAGCATAGGAACTACATTTAAAGTGTCCCCAACAACCGTAATGAGTATAACTAATAAAATGCTCCACTTTATGGTAAAACTGAAGTCGGCCTGTATCAATTTTCTCGAAAATGAAGCTGAAGTACAATAACAATATCCAATACCCGGCAAAATTCTAACTTGTCGCATTTCAAATAATAACCAGAAATATAAAACTACTCTTGAGTTGGGTAAATACCACAATTTTGCGGTGATAACTATGACATATAACAGCTGATTCGTGGCGTCACGGATCTTATAACCAAACTGATAACTATACTCGCTTGAACGGATCGGTAAATACCAATCCAATATGGTAAATACCATTTCCATTTGGTTATCCGCTTGAATTTGATTTATGCGTTTGGTGGGATTCCTGTTGCTGTGACATTTAGGGGTTATCCGTGGAATGTTTTGAAACGTGACCACAAACAGTTTTATCAATACAAATATATTATCTGGCCTAAATGAATTTGGGGAAATAATAAACAGCAGTTGGGAACACAAAGATCAAAGGGCCTGACAGCAGGTGTCGCATCTAGGTATAGTAGGTATATTCTTTAATTCATCTGTTGAGCTACCGGTGCAACCGGTTAGCCAATTTTGCGTCCTTTAATTTTCGCTTGAACGGCCGGTTGTACATCAAACTTGTCTTTATATTGATGGTGGATATGCCTTCGGTGCCAACACCAACAGCATCCACCGACGTTCGGGCTCGGTTGATCCACGATATTCTAACCTCTACATTTTATCAGTTTTTGACAACTACAGTTTTGTGTGAAAAATGGAAGAAAAGATTGAAGTTATTCTACAGCATAGGAGTCGCGTGAAATATAATGTTTTTTTCAACATAATTCGAAACAAACAGAGCATCTGAAAGCAAGTGAATTTGTTTTGAATTATGCATATCGACGATCTCAAATCAATACCTCGTAAGTCCGAAAATGTCGATTTTCTGATTTTGTTCTGTTTTTATTCCTGTATGTATACAGGAATTCTCTCAGAAAATCCATATCGATGTTTCTTATTCGGGAAGCATCGACGATCTCAAATCAATGTCTCGTATTGATTTGAGATCGTGGATATCTGAAAATTTCTTGGTTTTCTGATTTATAGTTCTTATATTGATTCCCGGAGCGCAAATTCTCTCCGCTGGATAACTTCATCCGAATCATCACTCGAATCGCTTAACAAACGCTCCACGACAATACCAACTGCTGCGTACATTGCCATAATGATTTTAAATGAAACGGTGTTCAAATTAACAAGTATCTATATTCTATTTACTATAAAACAAAGGTTAGGTTTTGAAAGCAACCGGAAGGCTAAAAATGCCTCTTTTTATTAACGGCCACTTAACGGAACCGGTTGCTGACGTCATCACATCAGCTGTCAACCATAAGTTCACTGGATCTGTATCTGTTAGAGATGATCAAAGTTGAGATTTTGTGATCGCAGTTAATACTGCGATTGCGATTTACCACTCACTGCGAGTGCAACCTGTGATTGCGATTTGAAATTGTGGGACTGTGTTATTTCATTATTTCCCTTCTATAAAAGGTTAATTACATTACATATTTATGTGTTATGTGTTAACAACTGTTATCACAAAAAATTAAATAACATTGTATTTGTGTTATAAAGGTTAGGAGAAATGATAATACCTTTTTTTTTAAATCTTTATTAAAAATGAAAACAAATGTCTCTTATAATTATAATTAGAAGAAAGCAAAAACTAAACCCAACAGGTAATATGTTAAACTGCAAACATTTATTTTCAAGAACTTAACAAGGTTGGTTTATTTGCAGCTGGGTGTTTTGACTCCATGTGTCTCCTCAAATTCGTGGTACTAGTCTTATGTGATATTTTGGATGCACACATATTACATTTTGCGAAAGTTTCGTCGATTTCGGAAAAAAATTCCACAAATAACTTATTTTCCTCTTTTTAAACATTGTTGAAACTGAATCAAATAATACTGGCTAGTCAAACAAAAAAACAACCTAGAGATTGAAAATAGAAACCACCAATACCAATCCTAACAATTCGCATTCGCAGCTCGCAACAGTCACAACTCACAACCATATAAAAGCAACGCCAACCGCTCGTTTTTAACCGCCAATCGCCACTCGCATGTGTCACTCCCAAAGCGATTGCCGCGATTGTACGGTTGGGTTGGTTGCATGCCTACCGGCTCACGCGAACCCACCAGCTTGCAACTCGCAGTTTGCTACGGAACGGGCTCGCAGGTTGCGATTGCCATTGTATAATCGCTGCGAGTAAATCGCAGTTCGCGAGTTTTTGCTCATCTCTAGTATCTGTATACATTTCTTTCGTTTTGAAATCTGTTTTGACAGCAGAATGGTTTTATAAGTTATAAATAGGTTATAAACTACAAGGCATAAACAATGGTATATGTTTTTTACCGATATTAATGTAAATGGATCGGGTAGATATGTCTGCATTAAGTATAAATGACGATAGCACTTTTCCCGAAGATGCTGAACGTATACAAACATCGCCTGCATCGTCTGGCGAAATATCAACGATGGATGTAGATACCATCAGTGTAAAGAGTGAAGTTAAAAGTGCGATAGAACCCAGAAGATCTTCAAGAAAGAAGGCACCAAAGCGCCTCGTTTCTATGGAAAACAAGGAGAAACAGAAAAAACCTGATCCTAGTAATGAGAAGGACATAGAAAAAATTTATTTGAATAAAAATATAAAGTTGACACATCTTTCACTAGAAACCATACCTGAAGAACCTCAAAATGGATGTGTTATGACTAAAAAGAAATTCAAGAGAAGGTTAATATTCAAACCAAACACTGAAATAGTTAATGTGAACAAAATGAAGTCCAAGAAGAGATGTGCAAGGGCCAAAAAGTTGTGTGAATCTCTGAGGAAGATCAAAAAGAAACTACCAATGAACTTATTCCTAGAAAAACTTTCTTGCTTAGATAATGATGAATGTAGTCAAGAAAAAGGACCAAGCATTTACATTCAATAACATATTTTGATGATTATTTTTCCATAATTTGAATACATTTTTTAAGCTTTTGCTGCTTATCTGTGCATGTGAATTGTTTTCTTCAATACGAAACAGCTTATCACCCCTTTATAAAATAAACAAAATATGCACACACAGCACAACTTTTTTCAGCAAGAAATTTAGCCTTCTGCCTGACAAAATAAAAGATAAGAATGCAGGTAGGGTTGCCTATAGAGTATTGTGGGTTAGGTATTATAGGTACCAGGTATAATCTATGGGTTATTTTCATACATAGATTGACCTTCTGAACCTGTTTATGATTTATATCTTCTTAAAATATACAGCAGTATTTAATATTCCATAAATATTGGTTTTAAAACTAGAATTCATCATGAAGTTGAGACATCTAAAACAAGTGAATTCCTTAATAAGAAAGTATTCTCAAAACGCATGGAGTCACCTAGTTGTGAAACATGTGAAAGAAGATTATGAAGGTGTTACACTATTTGGTCTCAACAGACCTGAACAGAAAAATGCAATGAGTAAAGCTTAACTGAGCTCTTTATCTGAAGTTGTAACTAAGTTATATAATGAAAATCAAACTACAGTTCTCATTCTACATAGTTTAATTCCAGGTGTATTTTGTTCAGGTAAGTTTTGGTTTACTTATTGTGACTTTGTCAGTGGCAGACCTGGGATAGGGGCGCGTCAATTGTCATTGATTCTGAGATTTATTTTGGAATCTGCTATGATAAACATACTACACATCAGCATGTCTGAGAAACCAAGGATCTTCCACAGTGAACCTTCAATGAACATGGAGTCCCTCAAAAAGTCAAAGAATCTTTCATGTAGCCTAAGCTCCATCGATAGAGATAGACCTTAGACAGTTTTTGTTCAGCTGTAAGTGTTACAATTAGAAATATAATCACTATCAGACTTGTCAGTATCGTCAAGAACAAAACATATTACAAAATGAAAATAAAAATTTAACTGTGATCATTGATTAACATATTCTTCCTGGTAGACCAGTTCTACCTGGAGATCAATCAATGCTATGATTCATAAGTTCCTATAAAAAAAAGGGATTCGTAGGTCAAGATGAGATTATTCTAAGACACCCTGACATATCTGCAAGTTGGAGTCATAAGAACAAATTTAATTTCAAATCAGATATCTATCTCCATAAAATTCTGAATGAAGTCCTAATGTCAAAACAGACCTGGACAAATTGGAACAATGTTCTGGTTACTGCAAAAGCAGAAGGACATGACCGTTCCGGTTCTTAAAAAAGTTTTAGTCTTATCTGTTGATCAAACAAACCAATATGGTTTTCTGAAAATGTCTGTCATGCTGTTTTAATAAACAGCATTGCTGAGGTCTCTTAGCGCTCTAGAGAAACAGTATTAATGTTTATTTGAAGATAAAAAGATGGCCCTGCACGTGTCCTTGCACATTTGTGTATGGACCACCCTAAAGAGGCGATTCATCTATAAAGCTCATCAGTGACCACTAATAAAGACTCAAAAAAGAGCCACATGTCCAAATCGGGGTCCTTCACTTTTATATATACCCCTCCTAGATCCTGAAGCTGTTTGGAAAACAATTTTAGGGGCTGATCTGAAAGAACGTGCAGAGATGGATGCAAAAGATGTGCCCATATTTGTTTCTAGATTTAGGCAGCTCGTCAACAGTAGGTATTTATAATATACCCGTACCGACTATCGCTGCTTTGGATGGTACAGCTCTTGGTAAGTTGCAAACTGCAAATCCAGCGAGTAAACTGGTGATGTAAAACTCATGAATATAGCTGTCGGACTCCTGCCGTTTTTTTGTTACAGATCCTAAAGTTTACAACATTAACATGCTTTTTTAAAATATGTTGAGTGCTGTATCGTCAACTTCAAGTTAGAGATAAAGCGATTTTTCGAAAACCATTAACACTGCTGTCTTGACTTGACGATTAGTGGTGCCTGCTAAACGTTTCCATCAGTGAATTATAGCGAGCGGTCGTTCATGAGTTTTATCTCTTCTCCTATCCGTCTTTGTCCGCCAGAACGGTCCGTTGGTTAAAGTAACGTAGGCTCTCTCTGGTCTGGTTGCCCACATACCAGACAAAGTCAATGAGAAAGAAGGGAAGGGGACAAGCAAAGAGGAAGAAATGAGCGTCTGGTGGAGGGGTGCCTTGATATTGTTAACTAGTATTTAGTAATTTTTAATTAATCTGAATATCAATTTAGGATTTATATAATAATAATAATAAGGATGGAAAAATTGTAATTTTGTTGTGCGAGCCGCGGTATTGCTTGTTTGCGAACTTGCTCGACTGTGTAGTCTGCTGACTCACGCAACAGAGAGTTGATGTACGATTCTGCTTCATTATAACGTAACTGCGCCTGTTGTTTGATGTAATCCTTTAGGTAAGGAATATTGAGGTCTCTGTGAAGGGTTTAGTTGGAGACATAATGGGGCGTTAGTGAAAGTACGCAAGGTTCTGTTCTGCAGAACCTGCAGACTACGAATATGCGTAATTTGGAATTTGGTTTTTAACGCTTCAGTGTTCTTCTGCCAAGTCATTCCTTTGTCAAGAGTGACTTCTAAGATACTTGATAGAATTTTCCCATTAACTGAAACCTCAGACGATGCTCCGCTACGTCTTTTTAGTACAATAGATAGCCTGCGTTTTCGAGTGATTAATTTTGGCCAGCCACCGATCCACCCATTTCAATATCATCCACCGCGCTTTGTAACTTGTAGTGAACTATATTACTGGAAGTCGACTGGGTCACCAGTACGGCAGTGTTGTCAGCATGTAGGTAGATTTCACAGTCGCTGGGGCAAGGGACGTCATGAATGAAAAGCGAATACAGGATTGGTCCGAGAACCGAACCCCGGGGGACATCCGCTCGGATGGGCCGGTCTGTCGACAAGCAATTATTAATTTTGACTCGAAATTTTCTACTTTTAAGGAAGGAGTTCAAGAGTTCCAGGAGGCAAAATCGAAAGCCCTTTTTGATTAGCTTATAGAGAATGCCCGTATGCTACACCTTGTCAAATGCCTTCGAGACATCTAGAAGCAACATGCCAGTACTTTCGTTGAGGTTGAGGTCCCTGGTCACTGGCTCCACAAGGTTAACCACCTGTAATGCCGTACTATGCTCACACCGAAAGCTAAATTGCACGTCAGGAATCACAAGGTGATCTGACGAGAAATGCTCAAGGTGATGTAGAATTAGCTTTTCAGCGAGCTTCGATGCAGTCGACTGCATTCTAATGGGATGATGATCCTGGCGAAATAGCAGACCCACCTTCTTTGGAATCATTATAAACTCTGCAGTCTCCCAGGCCGATGGGAAGTACTGGGACCTCAGTATGGTATCGATCATTACCACGAGATAAGACAAGGACTTCCGCTAAAGCAGCTTTAGCGCCTTATTAGTGATTTGATCCTCTTCAGGTGCTTTACGCACCTTGAGGTTTTTAATATGACCTTGAAGCGCTGCTGGTGTGCAATCCGGGGTCTCGAGAGATGCCGCTGATGTTCTATGCACGTCTTCACATGAAGAATCTTTCGAAGAAGAACCTTCTGAGGAAGAATCATTAATGGTGGCGCCGCGATCGCTAACGCCGTTTTCCCTAAAATGTCTGCTGACAGATCTTACGATGTGTTGCTCCTCGTCGACATCATTATCAAGATCATAGTACCTCGACCTTTTCCTCCGTCCTGAAGACTATGCCTCCAGGACCGTCGATGTGCGGGAGCTGGTCTCGCTTTCCGTTTCTGAGTGACTTCGTCAATTTTCAGAGAGTCCAACATCCCGGCCAGAAAGTCGTCACATTGCTTATTGCGGAACTCATGAAGAGCATTTCTTACTTCATGAACAAGATTCGTTGCTCTGCGAATGTCATCAGGATGACACAAGACCTTTTCGCTTGTTTAATGAAGCCTTTTTGTCAGAAATTTTCTGACGAATGTCTGCTGGGAGAAATGATCTGCCGTGTTGTTGTACAGAAAGTACAGCTGCACGCTGCTGAGCTTGCTGAACGACTCATATCCACTCAGCTTGAACCGCATCTATACCGTACTCATAATCTATGATCGGAATATTGGGGAACTCTCTATAGCTTCCAATCAACCCGTCTCTTTGGAGTAGTGGGAAGGAGTAGGAAAATACGAATATACCAACAAACTCCAGTTAACATCCCAATATATCCTTGAATTTCTTTGGATAGAAGGCAAAGTATTGCAAAAGTACACTATTATAACTTAAACTCGAGCTTTCGAAGATCTATGTCTTCATCGTCTGGAGCTGGAAACAATTATTATTGACAATAGCAACAATAATTAACAATTAGGAGGAAAAATAATTACTTACTAAGTCGGCGAGATTGTTGGTGAAATTGTTTTTAAACAACAGTGAAGGGAACACATAGTCGACGTACTTTTGCAATACTTTGCCTTCTACCCAAAGAAATTCAAGGATATTTTCTCCTAACAGTTAAGGCAATTAACTATGAATACTACTACTATGTATATATATATATATATATACTTATATATAAAACTTGAGACGTGGTCATTGTCGTTTAGACCAGTTAGGTGAAATAAAAAAGCTTCCGCCTTTTGTTGGGTACTTCGACAAAATTCAAGCAAAGAGAACTCTTTATACTTTGTTAATCTCTTTTTTTTGTATCTAAATTTCGACAAAATTCAAGCAAAGAGGACTCTTTATACTTTATTAATTTCTAGCTTTCAATGGACTTTGCCATCTTCATCAGGAGCTGCAATAACATTGAGAAGAAATGGCAACTATTATGCAAAATGATTTTAAATTAACTTACAGTCGTATGTGAGATTGTTGCTAAATGTTATTAACGTTTAGGTTTATATATATCAAATTTTATTGCATATTTGGCTAAACTAATTCGAAAGAAGAAGATTGATATAACGTACTATGGGGTTTTGGTAATTAGCTGCTGAGATGTTAAGGTGTTTTGTCCAGAAAGACCGTCCACTTCGGCAACCCCTCAATCCGCCATTTTGAAATTTGGAGAGCTGAATTTTATATCAAAAAAACTTACACACCCCAGCTTTTATCTTATTTGTTTTTTTTTCGAATTTTCATTTTTGCTCATACAGAGTGGTCAAAAACGCGAATTGTACTTTTTCTCAATAATTTCAAATGCATCGCCCTGTATATTTGTGCAAGTTTGGATTCAATTTTTTATAAGCTTCTTTTTGGTATCAGGTTTGATTCGGATAAAATCACTAGATTTTGAGTTATTAAGCTGTTATTAGAACAACACCAAAATTAAGGAAAACAATCACATCATCCATGGAAACAAAAGACAAACCGTGGGCTAGTTCCATATTGCTACTAAGAGCACAGATTTGATGTAAAAACTAATAACAAATAAATCAGCTTCAAGCGTAATAGAAAAAAACAACTATAACAACAACATAAACAAACAACTATCACGACTCAAGACCTAATCTACAAAAACTGCTCGAAAATATCTCCACCATGTTGAATACACAGCCGTAGTCTTTGGATAAATGACCGTTGCACATCCCTCAGCATGTGTTCCGTTATGTTCAGAAAATCATCCTTAATCCTTTCCTTCATATTTTGCGGGGTAGATGGTGGATATCTATAAACCCTTGCTGAACGTAGCCCCATAGAAAGAAGTCCATCGGTGTCATATCTGGTGATCTAGGAGGCCAAGATATAGGCCCATCACGACCGATCCAACGATTGTCACTCCAGGTGTCCAAATAGTTACGCACACAATAATGATAATGCGCAGGTGTTCCATCATGTTGGAAGTACATATGCATCCGAGTTTGCAGGTTGACGTCCTCCAAAAGCAAACGCAAATGCTCGATAAAAAAATTCAAGTATTCTGTACCTGTTAATCTGTTGTCGAAAAAGAAAGGCTCGATAACTTGTCTACCAATAACTCCTCCCCAAACATTCTAGCTCCATTTATTTTGGAAATCTATTTGCCTAACCCAGTAAGGGTTTTCCGTCGCATAATAGTGCATGTTATGCCTGTTGACAACACCTATGCTGTTAAAAGTTGCTTCATCGCTAAAACGAACCTTATCCAGGAAAGTAGTGTCTTCACTCACTTTATTTAGCATTATTCCACTAAACTCCATTCGAGCTGCGAAATTCTGAGGACGAAGGCCTTGATGCAAGCATCGATGATATATGGATGTTACCTATGCTTGTGAATAATCCTTTGGACAGAAGTTCTGCATATATCAGTTTCTGCTCCAATTTGCCGTGCACTTAAATGGAGATTTTTCTGCAACTTTAATAGAACCTCCAACTGATTCGCCTCGTTGGTGACACTTGGATTATTTATACATTTTTTACTATATTTCACTGCTCCACTTCATTCAAGACGTTCTCGTTGTGTGGAAAAAGTTTCCGGCCTTGGATGTCGCATATTCTAGTACCGCCCAAAACAACACCATATTCACCATTTCTTCTTCAGAAAAATTCATTTTCAAACAGGTTTTTATTATAATGCTCACAAAGCTAATTTTGACAGTTTGTAACTAATCAACAAATTTTTGTTTCCAAGGATGATGCGATATTTTAGGGAATTAAGCCGTTCCATAAAAGACGTGCTAATAACCGAAAAAATAGCCGTAAAAAACCCCTTATGTGTCTAGTCTCAAAAAAAGCTTATAAGAAATTGAATCCAAATTTGCACAGATATACAAATAATAATGTTACAAACAAAACAAATTTTTTACATATTTTAGGTGGTGGCTTAGAAATAGCACTAGGCTGTGACATTCGAGTAGCTGCTACGAACGCTAAAATGGGCCTGGTTGAAACTAAGTTTTCCGTTATGCCAGGAGCTGCAGGCATTCAGTTATTGCCATGAAACATTAGTCAATCACTAGCTAAAGAAATGATTTTTACTGCTAGAGTACTTGATGGAAATAGAGCAGAAAAAATTGGTTAGTTAAGCAAAATGCAAACTTTTCAGTCATTTTTTCATAAAAAAGTGTAGAATATATCACACATCGATGTTATCTTAAACATTTTTCTTATCGATGTTTACTTTCATTGATTCATTATACAGCGTGTTGCAAAATATCCATATTTTTTTGAGTATACACATTCTGCGAAAACCAAAAGTTCTTCAATTTTTGCGTGAAAAACCAGGTTGAAATCGCTTTAAAATGAACTGATCTCAAAATACTCTTCAAGCTCTTGTAGAGCAAGGCATTAGCTTTAATTTAGATACTTAACGATCTAAAAAATTATAATTTTTAACAGAGTTTTTAAGCACTGAATATACCCGCACGGTAACCCAGATCAAATTTATTTGAACATTATTTTTAAATGAATTATTTATTATTATTTTTCAGGTTTTTTGGATCATGCCGAACAAAAAAGCGTCTAGTAACTTTTCTCTAAAGCTGTCCATTTTCGAATTGTATGCGATTTAATGTCTGAAAAGCCCTAAAAGGTATATTCAATGTCTAAAGACTCGGTTAAAAGTTATAATTTTTTAGGTCGCCAAGTATCTAAATTAAAGGTTAAGCCTTGCATTACAACACTTCGAGGAGTATTTTGAGATTACTTTATTTCACAGCGATTTTTAACCTTGCTGTTAGGTCAAAATTGGCGAACTTTGGTTTTCGCAGTCTGTACCTACCACCTCTTCAGGAAACTTATTCATCTCTTTCCAACAATCTGTATCGTTGTATATAAAGTACTAAACCACCCCTTTAGCTCTTTGAAATCTACAAGAATTTTCATAATCAAATAGCGCTTTTCTGACTTGACCTGGTTTATCAGAATGGTTGACGTACAAATCGTAAAAAATATTACTTTATAATTTGAGTTGTTATTTAGATAAGATACGACTTTAAAAATTATTTTTTAGGATTAGTAAACCATGCGGTAGAACAAAATGAAGAAGGAAATGCAGCATTTAAGAAGGCACTAAGTATTGCTGAAGAAATATTACCGAACGGGCCAATTGCTGTTAGAATGGCGAAGAAGGCGATAATCAAAGGTGTTGAAGCGAATTTTAGTACAGGACTTGCAATTGAAGAAGCATGCCATGCACAGCTGATACCAACGAAGGATAGAACGGAAGGAGTGGCGCCGTCTAGGGATAAAAGAAAACCGGATTATAAAGGACACTAATTAGTGCAAATTGTAACGACTTGACCTTGTGTGCCCAAATTGCAGGATTTAAATTAAAAAATTACAAAGCCAATCTGAGTCTATTTACATTGAGTATAAATGACAATAGCACCCTTGTTGAAGATCAACATATCCAAAGATCGCCTGGCGAAGTATGCATCTCTAATAGGGTTCAGACCATGGATGTGGAAAAAACTGGTGAAAATAGTAAAGGTGAAAGTGAAATAACACAGCAGAAGATCATCAAGAAACAAGGCGTTGTTTTTGTTGAAAACAAGGAACATTGAACGAACTTGACCATATTAATGAAATGGAATCGAAAAAATTTATTTGAAGAGATTGATAAAGTTGTGACAACTTACACCAGAAACCATACATGGAGAGCGTCAAAATGGAAGTGTTATGACTGCAACAAGATTCTAGATAATGTTAAAGTGAGAACCAAACATTGAAATGAATAATGCGAACCAAATGAAGGTCAACAAGAGATTTACAAAGTAAAAAACGTTATGTGAAATTCTGAGAGAGTTGAAAAAGCAACTACCAACTTATTGTTAGAAAAACTGGAATGCTTAGATAATGATGAATGCAATCAATTGACTGAAGAATCGGTAATATGTTTTAATATTTATTTTTTTTAATCCGCATAAAATTTTGAAAGTTTTGCTGATTATCTGTGGATGTATTTTATTTTCTTTAATACAAAACAGTTTATTCCCGCTTTATAAAATAAACAATGTAATAATAATAATAATAATAATAATAATAATGACTTTATTCCCACAAAAGAAAATACAAAACAAGTTGCAAAACCAGTTCTATATGAACATATAGTGGGAGGGGCGAAGTTCGGCATATCCGCTCCTCCACTTAACCCCTGGTTTTAGGTTTACATCATAATAAGATAAGCATATATATAAATGAGGTAAAAAATATATGTATGTATAAGCAGTATCAGAGAATGGACCCTACCGGCTAATTTGATAAATAGTACTATAAAAATACATAATGACTCCAAAGTCATACCATGCAATTACCTGTAATGTAATAGCGTATACGTTTTTTAAACAAATCACTAGAAAGAGAAGTATAATCTCGCTGGATATTATTATAAAGTTTACTGATATTATACGAAAAAGATCTTTCGAATAAGGTGGTAGAATGAAAAGGCGGTGTCAGTTTTGTTTTGTTGCGGGTATTGCGATTGTGAGCTAAGTAACGGAAATGAATTTTTTCGTGTAAGTAGGATGGTAGTTTATGTATAATAATCGTATGGTACTGTACGAGGCTATGAAGCAGCCTGCGTTGCTTCATGTTCAGCCAGCCAGCATCAGTAAGCTTTGATGAAACAGAATCGTATTTTCTTAAACCAAAAATAAGTCTCAGACAAGAATTTTGCACGCGTTGTATTTTATCAGAGGTGAATTTAGTTAGACATTTGTCATAGACGACATCACAGAAGTTAAAATGCGACAGAACAAGAGAATTGCATAGTACAGGTATGACTTTAGTTTTTTGGTTCATGTAAGATTTTTGACCGTATATCGTCTTTAAATTCTGGAGCACTTGTTAACATGATCCTCAAACCTTATGTTTTTGTCAAGGTATCAGCCTAAATTACGCGCTATTTCTAAAGTATTGTTATCGAGGTTTATTTTCACCAGAGGTTCACAATGGTCTCTCCAATTTTTCGGCCCGAATAACATGACTGTACTTTTAGCCGGATTCAAGTCTAAGCATATGTTTCGAGACGCTTTAGTGAGACGGTCAAGGTCTTTATTTATCAGATCAACAGCAGGCAATGTTTGAGCTGGAGGAAATGATCAAAGTACGCTAATGTATCATCTGCATAAAAATGAGCTTTACAAGAGTGAAGACTGAATTAGAGGTGTAAATAATGAACATTAGCGGACCCAGAATAGAGCCCTGAGGAACACCAATGGTCACTTTCAATGGCGTCGAGTACTTGTCATTCAGAATTACCTGCTGTTGACGATGGCTGAAGTAGCTACGCATTAGAGACTGCATCGGCCGAGAATCCGTAAAAGTGGAGCATGGCTCATGGTGTATCCTGTCAAATGCCTTCGTATAATCTAAGAGCACCAAGGCAGTCAGGTTACCTTTGTCAGCACTGCGTAATACATCATCCACCACTCCCAGCAATGCTGTTGCACAGCTATGCGCCGGACGGAAGCCTGATTTTGTATCTATAATGAGGTTATTCGTTCTTAAGTGTTCTCTTATCTGAACATCAATTATTGATTCAAGCAATTTAGACAATGTTGGCAATATACTAATATTACGCAAATCCTTGAGCTCAGATGGCTGAGCAACTTTAGCCAAAGGCACAATCAAAGCGTGCTTCCAGCAAAAAGGAAAATAGCGACGCACTATGCATTCATTAATGATATGTGTAATGAAAGGAATAATTTTGGGGCAGCAATACAACAGCATTTCAATATTTATCAAATCAGCACCAAATGCTTTGGTTTTGAAGCCAAACAAAGTATCTTTTACCCGATCTGTGGACGCCAAAGTGAATTCAAAGAGGGATACATTAGGTTTGACATTATTCTTATAAAAAGAAAGTTTCTCAGCATCAGGTTCTTGTTCATAGCTTCCAAATCTTTACATAGAGTCTTATAGTTCGTACTGCTAATTTTATGTTCCAAATAAATCTTTTTAGCATTATCAGTTGCTAATTTTACTATATTACGTAACTTCTTGTATCCCTCCCATTCCTGATCACACCTTCATCTCCTATAGGCAGTGAATTTCTCATCTCTAAGCTTCATTAGAAATTTAATATTATCAGGCAGCCACGGAGCTGGTTTTTTCGTAAACCTTGCCATTCGATAGGGTGCAAATTTGTCAAATAGCTCCAAAACTAATTGATTAAACATATTTAATTTCGTATCTATATACTGACAATAAATTATCTGCATAAAGTCTACTTCATCCAGAGCAGTCTTAAAAGATTCTTGGTTGATATTTTTGAAATCTCCCCACAGGTGTTTTTGTTGTGAACTGGTACTGGCTTTCTGCCTGATAACATGAAAGATAACACTGCAAGAATGGTTGCCTATAGATATTGTGGGTATTAGTGTTATAGTTTACCATCTAGTATACTTTTTTATTTATCATAATGTATGCCAGTTATTGTCACACATATTGACCTTCTGCACCTATTTGTGATTTATCTTTTACAGTATTACCTAATGTTTTATGCTCGGTGGTTATAATACTAGAATTCATCATGAAATTAAGACATCTAAAACAAGTTAATTTCATAATAAGAAGATATTCTCAAAATGCACGCAGTAGTGAGCTCGTTGTGAAACATTTGAAAGAAGATTATGATGGTGTCACTCTGTTGGGTCTCAACAGACCTGTACAGAAAAATGCAATGAGTAAAACTTTGCTGAGCTCCTTAACTGAGGCTGTGAATAAGTTGTATTATGAAAACCAAACTAGGGTTCTCATTTTACATAGTTTAACTCCAGGTGTATTTTGTGCAGGTAAGTTTTGCTCCACTTACTATCTCCTTGCCACAGGCAGATCTAGGCTTTTTCGAGGTGGTGAGGAAAACCTATTTGTTTCCCATTAGGGTAGGTACGTCTAAATTGTCACTGATGTGAGAATAATATTTATTTTGGAATCTGCTGTGATTAGTAGGCCTGAAAAGCCAAGCGTCTTCTGCAGTGAACTGTCAATGAAGGTGGGATCTCACAAAAGAAGTTAAACAATTCTTCCACGTAGACTAATGCCAAAAGTTCGCATGAAAAAAGATTAAGCTATTGAGATGTCATTTTGGGGCATCCTGCTTTTATCCGAAAGTTGGAATCATAACAAATTAAGTAAATTTGAAATTACCAAACTCCGTAAAATTCTAAATCAAGAAAAACCGGTGTGGTTTGTGGTTTCCTGAAGATTTCTCTCCATTTCCAGCATTGTTGGGGTATCTAAAAATTGCCATACACATGTTTGTATTGGAATCCTCTCACATTAGTTTATGGGGTCTCGTGAAGAGGTAATTTATCCATAAAGATATCAGAAAGTTGCCAAAGATACTTGACCAGTAAATATCGGGCCGCTTCAATCTCGATGCAATGTATACGGTGTCCCCTAAAGGTGTGGGGTAGTGGAGTATATATAACTTGAGACTGGGAGGGGCTCATGGAACTGGGGGGCAAGCAAATAAAAAATCATGCACGGTCAACATAACTTAAAAAAATGGCCCCAGGTAGGTTACTGTGCACTTACCACGCAACGCCGTCATCAGTTTATAAAGGATTATGTTCAGCACAAGTTGGACCCTCTGGGAAAAAAGTTAGATATGAACAGGTATAACAAGTTAGTTAAACAGGTCCATACAGAGTATTTTATATTTCTATATATTCGGTGACCCAGCACAAAATACGTAAATCCCTACAATACGAAATGACTATTACAGCTTTGAAATCAAGTTCAAAATCATTGGGGTATAGACTCTATGAGTTTGAAAAAACCATACACAGAATTTGTCACATATATCGATATTTAAAAGCGATAAAAAAGATATAAATAACCAAGTGCTTCTGCGTCCGTCGCTGGAATTAATATTTTAGACCTAGAACCCTACATTAACAGATACTTTATTACCATTAAAATATCAAAACTGATGATTTACACATTATGGGATGAAACAACAATCTACAGATCAAGCACTTTCACAGTATCTTTGGACTCCACCTTCACGAAAGCTAGCTACGTTGCGACGAAATAATAGTCCACCTAAAATTTGACAAATTCGCCCAGAAGCTGACCAGTATATAGAATCGTTCGCAAGGGGGGTGGGTGGGTGGTCAGGCCCCTCAGGCCGCTTTGCTCTACACGATACCTAACGTCAATGATGTGTTTTTCACTTTAGATTGCAAAACGTTTTGGATGATGAAAGCAAAATTAACTTTTTAGGGGCTGATCTAAAAGAACGAGCAGAGATGGATGCAAAAGATGTGCCTGCATTTGTTTCCAGGTTTAGGCAGCTCGTCAACAGTATTTATAATATTCCAGTACCGACCATCGTTGCTTTGGATGGTGCAGCTCTTGGTAAGTTGTAAAGCCAGCAATTTATTAAGAAGAAAGACATTGTCAATAAAATATTTAACTACCTTACCAACAAAATATGAAAAAACATAATCAAGAGGCTGGAAATGTTTTTAAAGCCCTCGGAACCAGAATATGTTGTATAGTTCGAAACGTAGAACAAAAATATGTATCTCTTAAATAACACTATTAGTTTTTACAGGATGCGAGTGCTTTACAGCAGATTGTTCGAACGCACTTGAAACACAATGTGGGTTCTTAATAATAGTTTTGACGGCTCTGAGATTTGGCAAGGCATTTGTTCGGAATGCATGATTTTAACTCTTTGCAAAAAATGGGTTTTATTCTATGCTATTCTATGTATTTTCACGGTCTTGGGCGGTTACGTTACAGTGTCATACGAAATAAGTGAAAAGATTGACTTACTGTACCATTTCGGAGCTTAACTTCCCTAAGAGAAATTACACACTGTGCACTCCAATCCTCAATGCAGCTGTTATTCGCTCTCGCACATACATGAATTGGGTGATAGAGGAACGTTGTTATCTTTCACTTTCTGAAAATTCTCCAATAAATTTAGCACAGACTGTCAACATTGTAGTTGTATCTTCAAGCATTGCTACGTTTTATATATTAAGATTAATAAAAGGTAATCTCATTCCCTACCCCCATGACAAGCAAGTTATTATACTGACTGCGACAGGCAAAAATGTTGTCAGGAAAATTTTCAAGGCAGAGGAAGAAAACAAAAAAAAAAAAACATATGTCTGAGAGCGTACACAAACAAACAGCGGTCCCATATACTCGTATACTATATGTATATTGGAGCGCTGTAAGACAAAAATATCAAAATCTCGGTACTCGATTCCACTGAATGCATTTTCGTGAAACCTTTTTTAAGAATGTAATCGCATTCTTAAAAGCCCATGTGTATACAATGTAAACAATGCATACCTATAATAAATTCAAATTACACAATGTGTACAATATATAGAGTGTTAGGGAAATAATATTCGTAACTTTAAGAGGTGATTCCTTGAATTGTTCTAAGCAAAAAAGTTCATTATAAATTATGTCCGAAAATCAGTCGTTTGCGAGGAAAGTGTGTCGTAAATAATAAAATTTTCTCAAACATTTGGCAACGCTGCAACGCAACCGCGATACGAGTAAAATGTGCCTTGAATTATTGAATACTTTTCGCCATTTTTGTGGGTAATATTTTTTATTTAATAACGCTTTCAGTACAGTACATTTACTTGAAAAAAATGACGGAACTTACCGGTACGTGGCGATACACACCACCAATTCCCACTTATTTGAAACGATGCGATAAACGAAAAAAGAAAAAAAAATAACATCCGTAAATCACATAGTTACAGTCAAATGTATCTATTAGTAATCACGACAACACGCGATGATAAATGCAGTACAGGCAGAGTAAGACGTTGCTAGTTGTGCGAGGGATTTTGTTTATCCGTTTTTCTTCTGAAAATTGTATTTAATAAGCTAGAAAATTATTTTGTTAGAGACAGTTAATTAATAAATAGATGTATTGATACATTTTACGCTATTAGGCATATGCATTTAAATTATTAAAGTGCAAAATTAATTTATTTCATGACTAAAAAGAAATAAGTTCAGCATTGTTTTTGCTCCGAAACGGTTGATTGTCGAACATCGGTTATAATGAACTTCTTTGCTTAGAGTAATGCAAGGAATCACCTCTTAAAGTTAAGAATATTATTTCCCTAACATCCTGTATATAATGTATACAATGTACTCAATGTACCCAATTTATACAATGTATACAATGTACACAATGTATACAATGTACACAATGTATACAATGTATACAATGTACACAATATATGCAATGTGCACAATGTACACAATGTATACAATGTATACTATGTATACACATAATACAATGTAGAGTAAGTATTTTATTTTAGAAATGATAGGTATATAATTTTGTATATATAAATAATAGATATCTATCGAAATCAGACATTGTGATAAATCTCACACTTTTGATTGTGTAAAGTTGCTAGCTTTCGTTCGTTACCCGAAAGACTAAGCATAGATCATGCTGATGAGTAGCAAGAAATAACTGTCCATGGTTGTCCATGGTTGGCTGCCTTTGGTCGGATGGACGAAAGCAGCATGTTAAATAAAAATCTATACTTATACCTTTTCTAATTATTCAAGAATCACTTCATCAGTCGTTGCCCAACTAGCAAAGTAGTGCTATAAGCTTTTGGTAAAAGAACCGTTCAGCCATAAAAGCTCTCTATTGTTGTTGCCTGAACACCAAAATGCTGGCTTAATGTTGTGTGGAATGCAAATTTGCTTTCTGCAACATATTTGCTCTAAAATGAGGTGTTTAAAATATTCTTATAGCATAGTTATACAACACTTTATAGGACAAATTTTTAACTGTTGCATAAACGTTTATACAACTATTTTATACGGCATATCTGCACGTTAGTCAAAATGGTTGTGTTGTGGCCTCCATGGTAACGTTTATAAAACAAACCCGAGCCTTGTTGTTTTGCTGTGCAAATTTACTACTTTAGCCAACAAATTGCTCCCAACGGAAGCACTTATACAACTGTTGTTTAGTAACTGTTAAAGGCTGTACATATGCTAAACATGTTGGTATACAACTTCACCATAACCTAACTTTCTACTGTCATATTTTTGTTAAAATGCCATATCCAATGTTTTAAGCCAAACAACGCATGCATATTGGTTAAAAAGGTTTTATCAACTGTTCAAACAGAAGATATAGATCTGGTACAAATTCTAGGTAAATCATTCGACTCTGTCGGTATTTCATTTCTGACATTTGTCAAATTGTTGTATAACACCTGCAGGCAACACTAAAATATTCTAATAAACTAAAGACAACATGGACGATGCCATGATTATACACAACCACCCGCCATATTTTCCATCTTAAAAATCTAGACATACTTTTGATCATTATCAAAATATGAATCAAATACGAAGCCCGTAGAAATTGCGTAACTACTTTGCACGATAATCACAATAAAATTTGCTGCGCAAGTAATTCAATAGCCCTATATCACAATGTAAAAGTTTATCATATACCTGTGTATGAAATTCACAATGGCCGATATGTAAGTAAACAAGATGACTGTAATGTGTTAGTTATATATTCTTCACTTCGTCTATACAATACATAAGAAATATTTTGGTTGCAATAAAGTAGAATCACGTAACAGAATAGTTGTATAGTTGACAAAAACTGAATCTTGCACTGATGCAAATGTCCTATAGCGGCTGCAAGAGACTTACACTTTTGTTGTATAACTGTTACCTGCAGCCCTTATACAACCTCTTAAATGACTGAAGTGTCCTATTAGGTGTGCCCATTCCGCTTGTATAGCTGTTCTAAGAGGGTATTGCCAATGTTCTTACAGTATACAATGCTGTGTAAGGAATACTGTATAATCATTCTTGCAACTATAATAGGAGTGATAATTGTTAGTTGGGTGCATATATGCAATAGATCTAACCGAACTATTATTTGCTATTTTATACGTTGTCTACATAGTATACATGAATATCAACCTGAGAAACGAATATCAACTTCCAATACTACCCCCGTATTCCTAATGCTTGAACTTGAACTGGAATAGCAGAAATTGCATGACTTGCATAAATATGCATATTGGATTTGGACGCTTATCCAATTTTCGTGTACGATTGATGCAAGTTGCATTTGAATGCTGACGAAATATTGCTCGGGAGATAAATGCGCATAAATCTGCGATGTATGAAAATTCTATTTCCGTACCTGACAAGATAAAATTCATATATCAACGATTTGCATTTTTAAGTTTCGCGTATTCTTTACAAATTCAGTCCAAATTAGGGCCAGTAAGCTCGAATTTTATAACTGAGTTTGAAAAATAGATGTCAGAGATAAAAAATATGATATATCTATGCCATATCTTTTTGCCATGAGAGAATCAAAAATGTGAATTTTACATCCGTAATTACATCATGACTCGTTTCTATTTTAAGATATATCTAAGCAAGCTTGGAAATACGTAGGGCAAGGGCTAATGCAGATTATCTTCTTTTTAGTTTATTAGAAAATATTAAAAAACAACTTGCAAATAATTGAAAAAATCTAAAAGTAGTCAGTCGCATTTCTTGTCCATCGTATTTCTGAAAGTTTTGTCTTTAACAGGCCAATTCTTATTGCTTATTTAGGTCATTAAGAAAATGGTGCTTGGTATGTTTCGCGATGTACTCGGAGAAGCCAAAAAAAAATTACAGAATTTTCCCAAAATTGTTTTAATCTTTCCTGACTTTATTTGAGGTGCGACTTCGAAATAATCTGCACCTTAAGATTGAATATGTTTCCCCTCTGCAAGGTAGCATAATTGGAATTTCAATATGATGTTCTTTTGTCGTCAGTCATCAACTTTATTTTTCCTTACAGACGCAATATTGGATTTTTAGACAGAGTTTTTAATTCTGATTCGAAAATGTATATCTCATTGTCACTGCCAAACATGTTTATTCGATTATATGGATTAGAAGAAAAAAATATTGCTCCAGTTGTTGAGGGACGTGCTCAGATGACATTCAGATAATTTGCTCATTTACCGCCAATCACAAGCGTAGCATTTTAGCACGACTAACCTGTCTACATGGTACCTCAGCCGCAGATAAATGTGTATTATTTAAATGCAAGATGTGTGCATCGACTTAGATATGAAATGCAACTTGCTACATCGTCAAGCCTTTTAATTACCCTGAAATGTTTTTATCTGTTGTTTAAAGTTATATCAGCTATGTTTACACTTCGCCTTTTTACCTGTGCTACTTTGTACTACGCGAATAAAGAACTGTTATTATTATTATTATTATTATTATTATTATATTGTTCTCAATTTTTTTCATTACTACCCTTTAATAACATAAAAAAGTCAGAATTCTTGTGCTCTTTATTCGATGAGTTAAGACATGTCAAGAACAACTATAGGAAGAAAAGTTTTTTTGGATATTTGAAGAAGAATTATAATATAATTATTAGAGGGATGCTTGGCCGAATTTATTATGAAGCAAATGACTATTTGATAATTTCAAGGCCTACCTTAGAAATATTTATAGTTTTGCAGTATTATTGTACGACATTTGTGAAATCAGAATTGAAAATTCTATTCACCTATACAAAAATCCAGTATAGCGTCCATAGGAAAAAAATAAAGTTGATGGTTGAGGACAAGACACGAAACGTCACAGTGAAATTTTTGAGGAGGAATAGTGGCAAAGTTATTGTGGAATTTATTTTCTAATATCACCTCAAGCCAGGGAAGAAAAAAAACTATTTTTGGAAAAATCGATTTTAATTTCTTATCCCCAGAATTAATCTGGATGCGAGGCTTTCTAAGTGCCACATTTTCAGTTACCAAGATTCGCATCTTTCACTCCATTTAACCGATTTCGTATCTCTTACCGAGATTCCCACGGCGCGAGTCGAATTTGAAGCACCTAGTAGAGACAAGTACCAAATTGGTGTTCGAGGTGTTTTGTGTAATCCATTTTTCTAAAAACTTACCGCAAGCACTTTAATTTTCCATCAATAATCCTTATTTCAACTTTGATTCAGGCTTGGAAAGTAAATATTTTTGTAGCCTACGAGATTTTTAAATTTTGGGCAATTTTCATTGTTGCGTAACGAAACTATATAGGAAATTCTAATAAACATCCTAGAGTTGAAAGAAATTAGAGCCATGCAAATTATATAGATAGCTGCTATCAGTTGGAACTGTTAGAGATCTCAGATCACGTTTAATAGCCCAGTCATCACGTGACCGCTAAATGGCTGACGATTCTGGCTGTTCTATTTTACAGCCAGAATGGTCTACTTGCCATTGAATGAACGAAATCATCATGTTTAGTTCGGAAACTTTTTAGCTTGGAACAACTCTCAACACACATTTATTGGAATATAACTGCATTGCAGAAAAATAAATGTTTTATATATTTCAGGTGGTGGGTTAGAAATGGCACTAGGTTGTGATATACGAGTAGCCGCTAAGAACGCTAAAATGGGTCTTGTTGAAACTAAATTAGCCATTATACCAGGAGCTGGTGGCACTCAGTTATTGCCACGAATCATCAGTCGATCACTAGCTAAAGAAATGATTTTTACTGCTAGAGTGCTCGATGGAAGTAGAGCAGAAAAAATTGGTTAGTTAAGTATGCACATTATAAGCTTTTCCGTCAGTCTATTTGCCACAAAAAAGGAACGTGAAATAAACAAGAATAATCGGGTCAAACTTATCTTAAAATTTTGTTGCCGGTGCTTCATATTTATCTTTATATGCGAATTTTATACGGTGTTGCAAAAGTGTCTGCAATTTTTGTCTATGTATGTACTTACCGTATCTTCTGGTAGCTTGTCGAACTATTTTGATAGCATCATGACAATATGTATCTCTACATATAAGAGCATTAAGCTATCTTATAATCTTTACAAACCCACAAATAGCGCTATTTCTAACTTGTTCATCAGAAAGGTTCACGTATGAATCATAAAAAAAATACTCCACATTTTGAGACAAATATGATTTTGGAAATTATTTTTTAGGGTTAGTAAACTATGCGGTAGAACAAAATGAAGAAGGTGATGCAGCATTTAAAAAGGCACTTAACATCGCTGAAGAAATATTGCCGAACGGACCTATTGGCATCAGGATGGCGAAGAAAGCGATAAATAAAGGTGTTGAAGCGGATTTCAATACAGGACTTGCAATTGAAGAAGCGTGCTATGCACAGCTGGTACCAACGAAGGACAGAACGGAAGGACTGGCGGCGTTTAGGGAAAAAAGAAAACCGAATTATAAAGGTCACTGATTGGTAGTTGAATTTGAGCTCAAACTGCACGATTTTTAATAAAGAAATATCTACGACAGACTCAGTTCTATTCCAACACCTCTCAAAAGACTTGGATTTTTAGATATTCCTAAGCAGGTCAGCTCGGGTATGGTTAACATAGATTTGGGCGTACCACAAGGATCTATATTGGAGCCAGTGCTGTTTTCCCTATTTATAAATTACCTGGAGCACATTTTACATGCGGACGATGCCTCCGACATTATATCAAACAAAGACGATCTGGATTTAATATGCAACTGTAACAGTTACTTCTTAATAGCGAGAAGATAACTGGTATAAGGGTCCATAACGTCCAGAAGTCGATACCCAGTAGTTCAGCTTGTTCTAAATGGTGCAGCCCTAGGTTTTTAGGGCTCTACCTAGACAAATGTCTCAACTTTAAAGGACGTTCCGATTATCTGTCATCAGAACTGAATCCACAAGTATACTTATTCAAGAACCTGAGGTATGTTTTCCCAGAAGATCAGCTATTGATCTTGTATCATGGTCACGTTGAGTCTCGCATACTATATGCTGTGTGCTTGTGGGGTTTATCGGGGAACGCTTCTAAGGTGTTTTTAAGCCGAAAACGGCTGGTAAGGTGTATAGTGGGAGTAAGCAGCACTTATAGTTGCAAATAATTATTCAAGAGGTTGAAAATAATGATACTCCCTTCGCTTTTTCTCTACAATATGGCTATCTATACTTTTGTTAAATAAAGAGGATTTCTCGTTGAATAGTTATATATATCAAGTGGGCACTCGCAGACAAAATGACATCCATATACCTTTTGCGCGTTGTAAGTTAGGCTTGACTATCTGAAAAAAATAAGTATGGTTCTGTGCCTCAGTTGTCGCTCTGCGATCATTCTACAGCGTATAGCACTGTCTAGAAGATTGACTGTGGTGGTTTTGTGTCCACCAGCATGTCCGTCTCCTCCATAGTGATATTGTCCATTATACCATTTGCCACATGATGTCGTCTATAAGACGTCCTTCTTGCCTCGCCTTCCAGGTATATGTGCAAGGGGGGTAAATTAAGACGGACCTCCATAGCTGCAACATTTGTTTAGGCTTCATTCTCCAGTTCCTTCCACAGACCCTTCGGCAGTTCCATAGCGAGATCCTTGCCTTCTTAAGGACTGCTTCCAGATGCGAACTCATTCTTCTACCTCTTCATCTATATTTCCGATTATGGAGCTTACATTTCAATCTAGATACCACCCATTTCACAGTCATGTTTTCTTTCAATCATGTTTTTCTCTTATTCATACTACCTCCTACACTTTGTCTTATTTCTGGACCATGAGATCTGACAGGCTCTAATATAAAGGCTAAGGTTCACAAAACGGTAAAAAAGGATGAATACAAGAGTATTATACGCCAATTTTCAGTGTAGTAAGTAATGCCCTGAGACTATACGAGTAGACAACATAAGGGGGATATAAAAATAACTACTTACCCTGAAAAAGAAGTCTTTGCGTTTTTTGATATCCAGAGCCAGATGAGGTCAGCATATTGAAAAGCAAAATAAAAACAGCTATGGGTTCTGCCTTTCTACATTTGTACGATATTATCAGAAGCTCTATTTGGACTCTACAGGGAATTTTTCTTGAATCATTATGATCCTTAGCAATAGGATCTCGTACTTTCCGATCCACTATGTGACTGGTTATAGTTAAAATTCAACGAATTCGAACATATTAATAGCCTGAATGCATATATTGCATATTTGCTCCCAAAATAGTGTAGCTTTAGTGCATACTTGTGGCGAATTTGAGTACAATTGCATACAAAAGTGACAAACCAATACAAGGGCGTATATTATTTTCTCTGGAAAGGATGTTCAACTACAGCTCGTCAAGTAATAGGAAGATATATGAGGATTTTCTGGGATTGCGCACACGAGAGAGGGAGAACGCATTGGGCGCAAAAGAGGTGACACGTACAAAACGTCCATTCGATCTCGAGTGGTATAGTCGGCGTCCTAAATTAATCGAATAATTTCAATACTCAAATACGTCTTATGTGAAACCTGCTTTTTTTAATCGAAATTGTTGGCAAGTGTCAAATTTTTAAATATCTTTTTGTGAGCCCAATATGCTAAATTTGGTAACATCATTAATGTTACAAGACTAAGTTCTATCAATTTCACGAGCACCCGATCTTGAGCTATCAATTTCCTGTAGGTCGATAACTCTTAGAGAAAATTTGTTCAGTGGGTTGACTTTATGTGCATTATAAAATTGGGTTTGAGAGAATACTCGTATACGTTAATATACAGTTATCGAATCTCTATCATTAGGATATCTTAAAATACAATTGTACGTCCAACAGAAGCATTTAAAAATTCATACCTAAAAAAACATGTTTATATATACATTCAGTAGTATGCTACTTTTTAAATATTTTCAAAATTGCATAATACATTAGTTTCACAGAAATAGTTTTATGTTTCCACACCTGTTCGCTACCGAAGAAAGGTTAAAAATAGGATTTATTTTACTATTTATAGAGAGATAAACACAGAAATAAGAAAACCAAAAGAATTTATTCCATGAAATAAGTATTGCACTCTATGTAGCTATAAGACTGAAATCGATTGGTACTCATTCTATTTTTAATTGTGAATAATTTCAATTAATAAACAATCAAATGAAAAGTAAGGTCAGAAAACTAACATCGTAGAAGATACAGTTGGCAATATTTTAAAGATTTATCAAGTTTCACAGAGGATCAAATCGTGAAAGTTCGGAATCGGAATCTGAGCTACTACTTAAACTTAAATCTTCGGTTTCTCTATCGCTATCTTCGTCTAGGTTTATTATTATTTGATCCACAACTAAATCGAGTGCTGGTTCCATTTCCATATACTGCTTCTCAAAACCTTTGGCATGCTCACTTCGCTTTTTGCATTCCTCTGTGGGATAAGACGAGCAAAAGTCGACGCAAAGTTTGCCGACAGTCTTGAGATTAAAATCTACATTTCCCTCAGCCACATTGTTTCAGAGACGCCCATACCAACTCAATTGGGTTCAAGTCGGGGTGATATGGTGGCAATCTCAAAACAGAATCACCTTTTTCAGCCATTATTGTGTCTATTTCATAAGTTATAATATATGTCGGCTTATGCATTTTGATAAGGCTATACAAATCAATTTTCAAGTGAAATGTATGTTTTTTGTCTTAGCCATTCTTTCCTATGATCCCTCTTATATCACATAGTAGGACATTTGTCTATCTGAACATTGTGGTACGGAGCGTTGTCTATAACCAAAACACTATTTGGTGGTAGGTTGGGAATCAGTTTATCCTGAAGCCATTTTTTATAGTTACTATAGTTCATCTCACTGTGATAATCACCCGACTTACTATTGGATTCAAATTTCAGATATGAATTGTTCACGAAACCATTTTCACTACCAGCATGCACAACAATAAATCTTTGTCCTTTTGAAACTGGCCTGTGGTGCATGGATGTATGTTTCGTCCATACAAATTATAGGACGATTTTTTCTTTATAGTCTTTCATCCTTCTAAAAAAATTTCTCCTGAGATGCTGAATCTCCGGTGTCTCCATAAGAAGTCTTCTATTAGTTAAAGCACCTTTAACAGATGTCATTTCGCGAGAAATCCTCCTAATAGTCGATATACTAACTCCCGTGCCATGGCTGCACGCTCCTGAACTATCTTCAAATCTTCTCGTTGCATAAAGAATATAACATAAGATACAGTCTCCATAGTTTGTCCTGATAAAACTTTACGTTATAAATTGGATTTAAAATCCATTATAAACGAGTAAATTTCTTAGCACACCAAGGAATAAATGGCGACAATTAATAACGTAAAATTGTATTTATTCAACCCACGAATTCGTAACAATACAAAATAGTACATACAATTCTCAGATAATAAGTAATAAAGTTGTATCACTGCCTCACAATTTTTCTCCTGACTGTACGCTAACTAGTCTAGACACGACAAGAGACTACTGCTTCATCCATCCGACGAATTGAGCCGCTGGCTACTGCGTACTGAGAAGGCGTGACATTATTAAAAGGTTCGCATCTCGTCCTACACATGACGAGCTGTCCCAACAACGGCTTCAAGGAAAGTTGATGTTCAAAATTGGCTCCGCTCGAAAAATATCAACTTTGAAGAAGCAATGCTGAAAGTACAATTATTAAGAATTGTCAAGGATCACAAGGCGGAATATCAAAAATACGCCATTGACGAAATGGCAGCAAGTCAAAATAAAACTGTGCTCCGTTTACCTCCATACCATTGCGAGCTCAATCCCATTGAGCTCATATGGGCAGAGGTTAAAAATTATATAGCTAAGCACAATACAACTTTTAAATTTTGTGACCTCAAAGGACTTTTCAAAGAAGCACTAGAATTAATAACAGCGCAAAAATGGGAAAACTGTATTAAGCACGTGAAAGACAAAGTTGAAAAGAGAATGTGGGAATTGGACAATATTTTAGAGGAACAAGTCGAGCCATTCATTATTGACGTTGGTGCTTCAGGCAGTAGCGATGATGAAAGCTCATCAAGCTCATCTTTCCAATAAAAGATGTCGTTCATCAAATTCGGTAAGTTATAAGTAATTATAAAGCTACTGTATTTTTTAATTAATTATTGACATTTTTGAACCCATTTTGGCAAAACCTATTCAAGAATCTACTTTCTGACAATGTTCAACCATGCACATTTTTTTACGTTTTGAACGTTTTAATTTGGTTACATATTTACCTAGAAATCAAAAAATATACTAATCAATATTCTAAAAGCAATTTTAAGAGATATACGATTATTTTTAATTTAGGCTAATTTAAACGCCATTTTGAGATTATATTCGACTGTATTTCACCAAACATCAGGCGGCATCCGAAGCTGGAAATCGAAGCGAAAATTTTGAAACCCTTATGTATATTTACATCATTATATATTTCTTACCCCACCCCCACATGATCCTATATCCATCACCAATCGTATACACATCGAATTGTGCTAACTTACTACAAAGTTACGCAAAGC